TGTCATATTATTATGAGAAAGTTCAAAGTTTAAGTGTGCCAAATCTATGATTAATCCTCTTTGGTGCAAAATATTGACATTAATTTTTCTCATAATAATTATTTTGATTTAAATGTACTGTTAGGCACATTTTCAATGAGGAAGTGTGTTCACATATGTACATAAAATTTGAATTTGGCATCTGTGAATACAGAATGGACATTTTAACGCACTGCTGCCTAAATATACTCATATACATAGACATACATATATCTATATTGAGTTTATAAGTTTGGTCAGGCACAGAGGCTCATGCTTGTAATCCCAGCACTTTGCAAGGCTGAGGCATTAACATTGCTTGAGGACGGGAGTTTGAGAACAGCCTGGACAACATAGCAAGACCTTCATCTCTACAAAAAAATTTAAAAATTAGCTGGGCATAGTGGCACACACCTGTAATCCCAGCTACTCAGGAGGCTGAGGAAGGAGGATTGCTTGATGCCACGAGTTCAAGGCTGCAGTGAGCTACGATTGCACCACTGCACTTCTGCCTGGGTGACACAGTGAGACTCTGTCTCTAAAAAACAAAAAAAAGTTTATAAGTTTAGAAATTACAAACATGCTTGTCTATAATATGGATATGGTATGGGGACTCAACAGAGAATATTTTATTTGTGTAAAAGTGACAAGCATTTTTGTAAAATATTTACATTATATAAGTTTATTTTAGCTACACAATTTCACATTTGAATTAAAGTTAACTCAGGAGTGCAAATTCCTCTTGCATTTTGTAGATGCTCTGACTTGCTGCTGCTAGTTTATCAGTGAACATTAGTTGGATGTTGTCACAGTAAATGGAGAAAATGTTATCTGTCAGTATAAGTAGGCCCACTTGTGTCAGCAGATAACAGAGAGAAGAAAAATAAGGTGTCATGTTGAAGTATGAAAAACTAAAAGACTTTTAAAAAGTATATAATAGTCCCATCCTTATCCTCAGGGGCTAGGGTCCAAGACTCCCAGAGGATACCTGAAACCAAGGATAGTACCAAATCCTATTATATATTATGTTTTTTCAATCTGATAACCAAAAAGCCTGCTAAGTGACTAATAGGTGGGTAGCATATAGATCATGGATATGTTGGACAAAGGGATGATTCACAGTGGTGTGAGATCACGTGAGATTTCATCAAGCTACTCAGAATTGTGTTCAGCTTAAAACATATGAATTGTTTATTTATGAAATTTTTCATTTAATATTTTTGGCCTGAGATTGACCACAGGTAAGTTAAACCTCAGAAAGTAAGACCACCTATAGGGGGGAACTACTGTGCTTATCCTTTTAAGAGTGATTCCTGGCCAGGCACGGTGGCTTACGCATGTAATTCCAGCACTTTGGGAGGCCGAGGTGGGCAGATCACGAGGTCAGGAGATCGAGACCATCCTGGCTAACACGGTGAAACCCCGTCTCCACTAAAAATACAAAAAATTAGCCAGGCCTAGTGGTGGGCACCTGTAGTCCCAGCTACTCGGGAGGTTGAGGCAGGAGAATGGCGTGAACCCAGGAGGCAGAGCTTTCAGTGAGCCAAGATCACGCCACTGTACTCCAGCGTGGGCAACAGAGCAAGACTCAGTCTCAAAAGAAAAAAAAAAAGAATTACTCCTTTAAATATTATTTTCAGGGAAATACACAAATAGCATAATTGAAAAACATTCAATAAAAAGCAATTTGCAAGTAATATGATTTAAGAAGTGGGTACATATAGTTTCCATTGTAACTTGTAATATACGCTAAGGTGGTATATGATCTTCAACAAGATGAAAACAAATAATAAAAATTGTTTTTAGGTAATATCTGCTCATACTTCATGGAGATTTTTTTCAAGAAAAGATCTACAATAGGAACTTCTTTTTTACCTTAAAACACCAGTGTAGTGAAACTGATCTCTGCTTACCTAAACTCTGTTCAGTTGTAACTCCCCCTTCAAAGTATTTGTCTTTAATTCATTTTATTCCTGTTAATCCAAAATGCAATTTTAAAACCCCACACATCTGAAAATGTCAATTCAAAGTGGCATTTACTATCCAGGCACTAAAGTATTCACCACCTGTAATATGCCTAGTATTGGGCTATATATGCGATGGGATTACTTAAAAATAAAAACCATGCATTTTGTTTCATAGTTAAACAAAAAGCATGCATTTTGTTTCATAGTTAAGACTTATGCATAGTGACCAATTAAAGAACACAGCATGCCAGGCTTTGTATGCAGACAAAAGTGCTATGGTAATTCTGAAAATTGTTGTATTATTATGAAGTGAGAAGTTGGGAAAAAACAAGGAGAAGGTAAAGCAAATTAGGAATGCTGTAAATGCCTAAAGTGAATGGTGAGGAGGAAAACACACTGTTCAAGGTTAGAGAAACAGCAAGAACAAAAAGAGTGAAAAAGGTGAGATATTTTAGGCAGGGGAAAATTAATCATCATCCTAAAGCAGATTTGTGTGTTTGGAGTGGTGGGGACCAGTCTTTTTTATATCCCCAAGCTTTGCTTTCAAATTTACAACTGTCAAGTTTCAGAGTTTCTCACCTATCTTTATCTTGTTGATGATTTTACTTATAGCATTCTCTTGGTCATGCTGTCCTGATTTTACCTTATTGCATAAGCTTTTCACTCTAGAATCAGAATATCCTTTCTTATATAGTTCTATACACTGAACAGTTGCCCATTTCCTGTTTTTTTCTTTTCTTTTCTTTTTTCTTTTTATCTAGCTGCCAGCATTTTTTTCTCTTAAGACTAGCATTGAAGATCCGGGACATGATCCAGGCTTAAGTTGGCCAATGCACTTCAGTCCGCAAATGTTTATTAAGCCCTTACTGGGAACAGGCATATATACAGATGGAAAAGCCATGGTTCTTGCCCTTTGGAAGATTTTAGCCAGGGTAAAGCCTCTTTCCTGCCTCAAGTCTGCCTATATTGTTTTCAACTACAATTGCAGTTTTAAGTTTGCCAAAATAGGAAAAAATAAAATGAAATGATAAATGCTAAGAAGGCTAAAAACTCACCAAAAATAAGAATGAATAGCTTATACCTGTGAGGCATCTGTGACGAAAGGGTAGCATGGTAGAGTCGTTTGGGTCTTTACTCTGTCACTTCAAGTATAACTTTGAACAAGATGATACAGGGAAAGAAGAGGGGAACTGGCATTTCTTGATTATCTATGATGTGTCCAGAACTATGACTGGTATTAATTATATATTGTTATTTAATATTCATAGATCACACTACCTCCAAATCCCCTTAGAAAACCATAACACCACCACAAAAAAACAACAACCAGATTCTTCCTCTTTTAAAGATGACCAAAACTTAGGTGCAGATAGGCTAACCTTGGAGTTTCAGACAGACCTGAGATTTCACCCTGGTGTCAACCCCTTAACTCTACCACTTATTAGAGTTTTGGCTAAGTCATTCATTCATTTATTCAATACCTAGTATATGTCAAGCATGCTGCTTGACACTGGGTTTGTTGTTGTTGTTGTTGTTTGTTTTTTGGAGACAGAGTCTTGCTGTTTTGCCCAGGCTGGAGTGCAGTGGCAGGAACTCTGCTCACTGCAACCTCCGCCTCCCAGGTTCAAGCAACATTCCTGCCTCAGCCTCCTGAGTAGCTGGGATTACAGGCGCACGCCACCATGTCCAGCTAATTTTTGTATTTTGTATTTTAGTAGAGACAGGGTTTCACAGTGTTGGCCAGGCTGGTCTCGAACTCCTGACCTCAGGTCATCCACCCACCTCGGCCTCCCAAAGGGCTGGGATTACAGGCACGAGCCACTGTGCCCAACTGACACTGGGTTTTAAGGCAACATTGTGGCATGATCCCTTTCCTCAAAGCTCTTACAGTTCAGTAGAGGCAGACAGCTATGTAAGGAAGCCCCCGTAGTTAAGTGATAGATGTAGTTCTGAGGGTCTGTAAACTGTAGTGTGGGGTACAAACTAGAACCTAGTCCATGCTAACCCTGGATTGGTAGGTGGCAGAGCTCAGGAAAGCTCTCAGAGGGGAGGTTACCCTGGGATCCACATAGTCACCCATTGAGTCAGGTGATCATGAGAAAGAACAAGATATTCTAACCTAAGTGAGCATTAGGGCCTGAAACAGCTTGGTAAGAAATGAAAGTGTTTCAGATCTGGCTGGAGTAGAGAGCTGCAAGGTAGTGGTAATAAAATCTACTTCACTTGTTAGAGGATTAAAGAGGTAACATATAGACAGTGCTAACCATAATGTCCGAGACATACTAGGTGCTCAAAAAAATGTTTCTTTTCTGCTTCCTTTCAGTTTCTCCAATTGATTATATCACTTTCCACCTCTGAAATTCCATCATTTTTATCACACTGTATGGGTTCTGATTGTGAACTGGTTCACACACTACTTGGCACACTGTTCATGTTTAGTTAACAGTCTCTACCACATTTGATAGAAGGCTGGGTAAAACAAGATGTAAATTTTAATAAATGATTGAAGCAAAAGCTAAATTGAACTTCAATACTTTCTTCTCTGTCCCTCTACGGTAACTACAGTAACTTGAATCGATTCTTTTGCATATGTGTGTCATGAATATATAGAGCTTCAGTATCAGTTCAACGCACTGAGGCAGAATTTAATGTTTCCAGGGAAATTGTCCATTTGCTTCCAAACCGACAAGAGCTGCTTTTCTGTCTCCAGAAGTTTGTAAGATCACAACATCCACCATACTGCCAGGAGGAGACTTGAAGGCAACGTACCATAATAATATGACCTTAGAACCCATCATTTGTACAGAACTTAGAGTCAGCCTTATCTCCACCCCCAATTTGTCTCTGTCTCTATTATATGGTCCTGTACATACTGTATCCCCTCCAAAAGTGTGTAAACTCTGAAGCCATGACTTGTTTTATTCAACTTGTTCAGCTGCTGCTAGCTGCCCCAATCTACAGTGCTTTACCCTTTTCAGATAATTAGCAAATATTTGTTAAATTTTACAGACACCAAGTTGTTTTCTTTTCTCTACTCGCGTGCAGTGTGGTGGCAACAGGCACAGTTTGAGATGCAGAATTACAGCGGCGAGCTTGTGGACCTGTACATGCAGCGGAAAGGCTCTGCTAGTAATCGCATCATTGGTGTCAAGAACCATGCATCCATCCAGATGAATGTGGTAGAGGCTGACAAGGTCATAGGCAGGTTTAACGGCCAGTTTAAAACCTGTGCTATCTGCGAGGTCATTTGCAGGGTGGGTAAGTCAGATGACTACATTCTGTGATTGGCCAAGGCCAGTGGCATCATCTGAAAAAATTTTTGACTGGAGAGAATCATGGATATGGAAAGTTTGTCATAAATAAATAGTGAAAACCTAAAAAAAGAAAAAAAAAGAAATTAGAAAACATTTTAAAAATACCCAGTTAATCAGAAATTAAACATAATCCCACTCATTATAGTAGGGTTCCCTGAGCTGTGGCGGCACACTCATCTAAGATAAGTAGACGGAGGGTACAGCAGGAGGTACCTTATCATTTCAGACTGTAGCTGTCATGTCATTTATCATGTATTTTCAAAGAATCTGTATGGTGTGGTTAAAAGCATGAGCCATAAAGTCATAATAGCTGTTTTTGAACCCTATTTAAAGTCATAAGACCTTGCGCTTGTGCCTAATCATTTTGTGCATCAGTATTCTGTTCTGTAAAGTAAGAGTAATCATAGACGCTATCATATAGTGTTGTCAGAAAGATTTACTGAATTAATACATGTAAAGCATTTTAGGATAGCATGGGCACATTGCAAGTGCCCAATAAGAGTTAGTTCTTACTTTGTACTCTGCTAAAGTTTTATATAAATGTTAACAGGAGCAAGGTAGTAGCTTGTCTACAGGAAGGAAATGCAGGGCTATAAAGAAGAGGGAGGGCTGGGCGTGGTGGCTCATGCCTGTAATCCCAGCACTTTGGGAGGCCGAGGCGGGTGGATCACGAGGTCAGGAGATCAAGACCATCCTGGCCAACATGGTGAAAACCTGTCTCTACTAAAAATACAAAAATTAGCTGGTGTGGTGGCACACACCTGTAATCCCAGCTACTTGGGAGGCTGGGGCAGGGGAATTGCTGGAACCCAGGGCATAGAGGTTTCAGTGAGCTGAGATCGCACCACTGCACTCCAGCCTGGCGACAGAGCAAGACTCTGTCTCAAAAAAAAAGAAAAGGGGGGGGGTGGGAACATATCCAGAAATATGTGTGTAATCCTACTCTAGGACAGATACTTCTCTAGGGAGAAAGCTATCCCTGTCATGAGGCGTGAGGACAAGGTACAGAACTCCTCTTATCGCCCACCCCATTTGCTGGGTAAGGACGAAAGTGCCTCTCTTGGTGGTGAAGATGCCTATATCCTGCAGTCTTTTTTAAAAGCATGGTCAAGCTTTTTTAAAAGCATAGTCAAAACTCTATCACAGAATTGTATTTCATGTCAAATGAGTCATATTTCCTGTTAAGAATATTTGCGAGTATCGGCCGGGCGCGGTGGCTCATGCCTGTAATCCCAGCACTTTGGGAGGCCGAGGCGGGCGGATCACAAGGTCAGGAGATCGAGACCATGGTGAAACCCCGTCTCTACTAAAAAACAGAAAAAAATTAGCCGGGCGCAGTGGCGGGCGCCTGTAGTCCCGGCTACTCGGGAGGCTGAGGCAGGAGAATGGCGTGAACCCGGGAGGCGGAGCTTGCAGTGAGCCGAGATTGCGCCACTGCACTCCAGCCTGGGTGACAAAGCGAGACTCCGTCTCAAAAAAAAAAAAAAAAAAAAAAAAAGAAGAATATTTGCGAGTATCTTGGTATTTTGTACCATACAATCAGATTTTTTTTAGGCATATATGAAATTTTATAAGGTATAGTGATGATATGGAGTAGTTTTAACAGAGCATTTAAATATTACTGATATCTTAAAAACATTTGTTTTAATAATGGAGGCATATATATTCTTTTAATAGACCTTATAACTTTTACTTTTTTGGAAAGCAAAGACATGAACATTTAACTTGGTATAACATAATAATATTAGGCAGGAAAAATATTCTTTTAAAAAAGTTAAAAGAAATGTTTTGTAGAGACAGAGGCTCACTGCGTTGCCCAGGTTTGTCTCAAATTCCTGGCTACGAATGATCCTCCTGCCTCTGCCTCCCTAAGTGCTGGGATTATAGGTGTGAACCATCATGCCTGACCAAGGAAAAATAATTATTCTTAACAGTAAAACACAGTGAGGCTAATGATGATAGAAGACATGTTATCAAAGGAAAACACTGACTTATGAGGAAAAATGATTAATCAGGTATTGGGAGAGATGACTTATGAAGGTCACTGTGGCAGTGGAATAAGCCTTTCGGGATAAGGACATTTATTTAATCTGTGTCAGTCTTTCTCACTTCTCATAGGTCTTTGAGAGCCACCTTAATGCAAAATACATGGGGGTTAGGTTATATTTTTCCAGTAGAAGACAAAATGTAGCAATCACTCTTTCTTCCCTCATTGTCAAAATTCTTCCCGTTTAAGGATCTCAGAATCCTGCAGTTAGCTACAATCATATATTGACTTTATCAGAAATGTGTAACATGAAATGTGTAAAGGGAAGCAATCTATTTTTTTAAAAAAGAATCTTCATTATATGGCAACTTTCCATCTATTTTTATAGTCATACAGTTATAAATATATAAGATTGATATATCTGAAACAAATTGAAATAAAATTATGATTCTTTTACTTTTCTCAAACTATTCTATATCTGTGTTTTGACTGTAAGTCACCTCAATGCCATTGTTTAAGATGGCCAGAATCTACATATCTACTTTTTTTTTTTTTGGTAGAAATTTCATTTTCCAACAGAAAGCCACATCGGATGTTCTTCCATGGTCTAATAATGAGTGTAAAACTAGAAGATGGTGCTTTTGTGTTGATAAACACATCAAGGTGGTGGGAGGGTGGTGCACCTGGAGAAGTATGGATGCTTTGTGCACTACCACTTCCTGTACCTTGCCCTATGCATCTCATTTACGCAGCTGTTCCTGAGTTGTATATCTTTAATAATAAACCAGAAAACTGGATATGACATGAGATGGTGACACAGTAATAGTCTCATCATTTCTGATGATCTGAAGAATGCCCAAAAAGTGCACCGAAAGATTAGTTTGTGCACTGGGCTCATCTTGATTCACCTGGTCACTACTACCGGAAGGTGGTTGAGAACATGCAAAGAATGGCATCTGGACATTTGCAAAAAACAAAAAACAAAAAACAAAAAACAAAAAAACAAAAAACTCTCTTTGCCAACAAGAAACGTTACAACTGTTTATAGAACTTGGAACTTCGACTGTAACTAAGAGAAACAGAAGCTACGTCTCCACCAACACAATGCCTGAGACTGCCTTCTGCATGGAACTCCAAATACACAAGAGAGTTTTCCTGGATATAGACATTGGAAACACTTCATTTTTCAACATTAGCAATGGTGCAGTGGTGTGATCTCGACTCCCTGCAACCTCTACCTTCTGGGCTTAAGCGATCCACCTCAGCCTCCCGAGTAGCTGGGACTGCAGGCATGCGCCACCGCGCTCAGTTAATTTTTAAATTTTTTTTTTGTCGAGATGGGTTTCATTATATTGCCCAGGCTGGTCTTGAACTCCTGGGCTCAAGCAATCCTCCTGCCTTGGCCTCCCAAAGTGCTGGGATTACAGGCGTAAGCTACCAGGCCTGGCTTTCCGACATCTTTGTATTCACTAAAATTTCTCCTTCTGAACCACTGAGCCCATTCTTTTTGCCTTCAAATCCAAATAATGATGATTAGGGCACTCTGAGTATATATACTGTGATGCAACTAGGTTCAGTAATCCTTGCAGTATATGCTGGGGAAGATCATCAGACTGTAACCACACACACACACACACACACATGCACGCACACACACGAATATTTGGAAAAGATCTATTTACTTAAAGAAATATTCAATTATGTTGCTCATTAAAATGTTAAAGGTCAAAATGTATGGAACCTCTTAAAATCATAAGCACAGATTTTAATAGTCTAATATTAATTAGAAAAGACACTACATGTTTAATATTGTATGTTGATAAAAAAGTTTGTTTTGGGTTCTGGGATTTGACTTCTGTATTTGTACCTCTCGAACTTTCAGATCACGTCATAGCATTTTAGTTTGTTCTAAACACTAGCCAGTGTATTACGAAGGTTTTTAACTCATGAAAAGTATTTTATTAAGTCCAAGAATTGCATGATTCATTAAAATGAAAGTCTTTACAATGCTTAATCTACTATATGCCAGTAAATAAATTTAAGGAGTAAGAAAGTAACATATGGCTATAAAATTTTCTGAAAAAAATCTGAAAGACAAGAAATTTCAATATAGTTTTTCTGCTGGTTACAGCCTGCCCTTAATATCTCAATTTCTGCCTAAAAATTGATTGCAGGTTACACATTTTTATTTCACAAATTTGCTAGAAGAATATGATTTAACAATAGATGTTAACATCTTTTGGTAGTAAAAGTGTTTGTAAATGTTTGGCCTTCTTGTTATTAGTAACATAGTAATCCCCCATCCCCATGGTTTCGCTTTCCTCAGTTTCAGTTACCTGTGATCAACAATGGTCTGAAAATATTAAATAGAAAATTCCAGAAAAATGAATTGGTAAATTTTAAATTGCATGCTGTTCTGAGTAGCCTGACTAGTAGATGAATCATCCCTTTGCCCAGTATATCTGTCTACACTCTCTGCCTGTTAGTCACTCAGTAGCCTTCCCAGTTTTCAGATCCATTGTCACAGTGCTTGTATCCAAGGAACCCTTATTTTACTTACTAATGGCTCCAAGTGCAAGCCTAATGATGCTGGCAATTCGAATATGCCAAAGAGAAGCCATAAAGTGTTTTCCTTAAATGAAAAGGTGAAGTTCTCAATTTAAAAAAAAATCATATGCTGAGGTTGCTAAGATCTACAGTAAAAATGAATCTTCCATCCATGAAATTGTTATATTGTTATAATTGTTAATGTATTATTGTTAACCTTTTAGTGTACCTAATTTAAACTCTGAACCTTATCAAAGGTATGCATATACAGGAAAAAACATTATACATACATGGTTTGGTTACTATCCTCACTTTCAGGCGTCTACTGGGAGTCTTGGAATGTATCCTTCCTGGATAAGGCGGGGAAATACTCTACAATATTTTTGTTTTTTTTTTTGAGACAGGGTCTTGCTTTGTCACCCAGGCTGGAGTGCAGTGGTATGATCACAGCTCACTGCAATTTCAACCTCCTGGCCTCAAACGATCCTCCTGCCTAAGCCTCCTGAGTAGCTGGGACCATAGGTCTGCACTACCACATCTTGCTA